AGATGAATTCTAAAGTCTCCTATGACTTGTTTGTGCATGTTTGTATATATATTTAAATTTATTTTTAATCATATCTTATTTTTGGTGTGGGGTTAGAATATTTGTTTTATTTTAATATGTTTTCAAACTTACAAGATGCAAGAACAGTACATATAACTTCCATCTAACTTTTACCTAGATCATCAGTTCATCAATTGTTTTGCCCCATTTGCATGTATCATTTACATACATGTGTGCCCCTGCCCCTTGCTTGGCTTTTAGAATTATGAGCTAATTTGTGGCTGTTGTTTTAAGCTGCTAAATTTATAGCAGCTTGTTGCACAATAATAGACTAATAAAAATAATACAATTCTGTACAATCCATGAATCAAATGAGAAATCACAGTGGAAATTAGAAAATGTTTAATGTGAGAAAAAATGAAATCTTTTAAATTGAAAATGAAATAATTTAAACTTAGTGAAAATATCAGTGTTTGATACATAGATAAAGCTGTTATTAGAGGAAAATTTAGAACCTTAAATGTTGACCCTTGAATAGCATGGGGGTTGGAGCACTGATCATCTACACAGTTGAAACTTTATGGATAACTTTACAGTTGGCCCTTAGTGTCCATGGTTCTGCATCTGCAGATTTGACCAATCATGGATCATGTAGTATGTATTTATTTTAAAAAACCCATGTGTATGTAGATTCTTGCAGTCCAAACCTGTATTGTTCAAAGGCCAACTGTACTAGAGTAAAGGAAAAAGCAGAAAGTCCACTACTTATATCTTTTGTAGGAAATTAGAATAGAACAGCGAACGTAATCCAAAGATAGTAGAAGGCAGGAAATACTGAAGAAACAGTGAACATTCATGGGCTGGAAAACTAGCGACAAAGAGAGGATCAACAAAACTTTTCTTCGAAAATGGTAATAAAACTGTTAAAATCTCGGCAAGAATGATCATGAAAAATACTGAAGACTAAATAGTATCAGAAATGAAAAAAGAGCATCAGTGCAGATCTTGTAGATACTGCAATGAGATGTAAACAACTTTGTTAACAACAGGAATTTATTTCCCACAGTTAAGGAAGCTGGAAAGTCCAAGATCGAGGTGTTGGCTGATTCAGTTCCCAGATGAGGGTTCACTACTGGGCTTGCAGACAGCTACCTTCTTGTTGAATCTTCACATTAATGAGAGAGGACCCTCTGGTGTCTTTTCCTCTTTTTATACTGACAGTAATCCTATTGTGATGGCTTCATGATCTCATCTGAAGTTCATTACCTCCCAAGGATCCGACTTGGTAATACCATCACAGTGAGGGTTAGAGCTTCAGTAGGAATTTTGAGGGAACACTAACAGTCCACAGCAAACTTTATGCTAATAGATTTCAATATAGTTTAAATGAACACATTCTTAGGCAAACACAACTATGAATAGTCATTTCTCTGTTTAAGATATTGAATCTAATTAAAAACCTTACCACAGAGAGGCAGTTGACTTTACCAGTGAATTTTACAAAACCACTTAAAAGAAGAAATAACATCAGTCTTATACACTTAACCTGAAAATGGAAATAGAATACTTTCTAACTCCATTGTATGAAGATAATATAAATGTTTAGTAAAAATCTGACAAGGACCTTAGAAGAGTAAAATTGCAGGCTATTTTTTTTCATAAACATAGAAGAAAACTTCTAAGGGTTGCATTTTTAGATTAAATTATGGATTGGAAGGAAGGAAATTTTGTTCACAATCTACATTTTTTTTTCTTTTCCCTCTACTGTAACATTGTAAGGATTCTTTTTTTTCCTTTCCTCTCCCCCTTTTTTCACGTGTTTTTTTTTAAATTGAAAAATTTTTTTTCAAATTGAAGTATAGTTGATTTACAATGTTGTATTAGTTTCTGGTGTATAGCATAGTGATTCAGTTATACATATATATTCATATTCATATTTTTTGATTATAGGTTATTACAAGGTATTGAATATAGTTCTCTGTGCTATACAGTAGGACCTTGTTGTTTGTCTATTTTATATTTAGGATTTAGTATCTGCAAATCCCAAACTCCCAATTTATCCCTCCCGTAAACAGACTCACAGGCATAGAAAACAAACCTATGGTTACATGTTTGTTTATATAAAAATTATAAACAACTTATAAATTATTAGAATTTATAAATGAGTTTAGCAGTTACTGAATACAGGGACTGTACAAAATTTTAAATATATTTTTATATATCAACGAATAGAAAATGAATCATTTTTATGATTGAAAACCTTGCTGTTTTAAGGTTGTCGCTTCTGTTTAAAAAGCAGGTGCTTCTGTGGAAATTTATTATATAAAATTTATGTGGTAATGCAAAGATTACTAAACAGAAGCTTTCTATTTAGAATAGTTGACACATGGCATAAAGTTAATGCCAAATAGATGTTGTTACTTCGTTTTATTCATACAATTGACCTTTGGACAACATGGATGTTAGAGGCACTGACCTTCCACAAAATTGAAAATCCACGTATAATTTATAGTCAGCCTTTCATAACTGGATTCAGCCAACCGTGGATCATGTAGTGCTGTACTATTGAAAAAAAATCTGTGCATAAATGGACCACACAGTCCAAACCCGTGTTGATTAAGGGCCAACTATATTTCATTTTCAGAGGGGGATGATTATGCCAGTTTTATTGTTGATTTACATTTGGTAGAGCTTGCAATTCTGTAAAGGATGTATGATGAAACAAAGAAGGAAAATCTGCAAATGTTGTATTTTGTTTTAAAAAATATTCTTTATGCATTATTTTATAAATTTTCCAGAATTGTGGTAGCATCATATTATATAATGTAGTAAATTACTTTGTACTTACACAGTACATTTTTAAAATTGTAATTGTCCTGGTGTGTGTGATAAATGTTTGGAAATATTACTGGATTTTTGGTAGGACATTACAATGTCCAAATTTCTCCAAATATTTAAGAGAATACATTTGGATTAGCTTTGTTTTCAAAAGCTATTCTTGTATGATAGTTACTTTCTGATCTAAAGGTTTCAGAACACTCTAATATTCAAGACAGTATGGGACCTCCATGTTCTGGCTTCACTTAGTATCCCATTTCATAGGTCACTGCTAAATTATTTCATGGTTTTGAATACTTGTCTCTTGTCATAATAAGTTTTTGCTCATACTATTCCTATCTCAGTACGTTACATGTTTTAAAAATCTTGTTTCTCTTAATCACTTTCAAAGCCCCCTGCCTCTACTGCTAAGCAAGACCTACTCACCTTTCAAGTGTGAGCTCCTTTCTTATTTATAGTATAAATATTTTTCTGATCTTGTCAACCAGTTTAACCTTCTAATCACAATGATGTTACCTAGAACTTGCTATCTGGACCATTCATTTATTTTCTTAATTCTATTTAATTTTGTTAGGATCATGTAATTTAGTATTACAGACTTTTCCAACGTGGAAGGAACTTTACAGATGAGTGAACAGAGTCCTAAAAAGATGAAATGATTTCAAAATAGTATAACTAATTGTATCAGATATGTATCCAGAATAGAAGTGTCCTCTCAGTCCATTTGAGTTACTATGCTTATGTTAGTTTTCTTGAATTTGTAGGGTATAAAAGAATGAAAAATGTGTCACATTCTTTTACAAAAGTTATTACAAGGCAGGCAATGTGATAGAAAAGCTTTGGGAAGTTGTGGATTTAAACACCTTGTGAGTAAAAGTAGGAATCTTAATACTTAGCTAATAATACATATTTATTTTGAGGCATTAAATAGGATAATTATGAAGCATTAAGACCTTTGATATGAAAATGTTTCATGTTCAATTCATGTCAGATGTCTTTTTCTTTTCATTTTGGTGCCATAGGATAGATGGGCATTTGTAAGCCTGATTTCTTTGGATTTGAATTATTTTTCTTCTACTCATAACCCTGTGATCTTGGGCAAGTTACTTTATTCTCTGAAGTTTCCTGAATCTATTACATAGATTCAGAATAATATTGTTTGTGAGGTCATCCTGAGAGTTGGAATTAGTAAATGATATGCCTCTTGGAACATATAATATTCTTGAGAAGTGGGGGGTAGGTTGTAATAGGAATACCATTCACTGGTGATGTTATTATTTTAAAAGGCTGGTTCTCCCCTGCTTTATTTGGAAAAATATTAATTATTGCCAGAACAGTGTTTATAGAGAGCTTGATACATAGAGTTGCCAGTGTAAGAAGCAGCTGGATCAAACGTTAAACTAACTTTTGATATGCGACTCCTATTTAAAATTAGCTTTTTTCAAAAACTTCATAATACCATGCAGTATCTTCTTAATTGACAGCAGTATAGCCATTTCCTAGCATTTCAGATCTGTTTACCGTAAAGGAGGACTGCACGTACTGTGAGAGTGTACATACAGGCTTTATGGAAGTGGACATCACTATGTCATACAGCTTCTGATTTTAAATTATGTTTTCAAGCCTTCCAAATTTGAAGAAAATCAATTTTGGGCTATTTTCACCTGTTACTGTAATAGTTAAAAATGCAGGAATTTAATTGTATTGAATTGATTGCCAAGGAAAATGCTCTACGTAGCCAGGGTACCAGGTGGCATGGTGAGCTGTATGTACACAGTGGGCATCTTACAGCCTAAAGGGAGGATTCTGTCAGATTCTGGGAGATTCTTATAAATGTGGAAAGATTGAATTGGTGACCACCTAACCGTTTACCTCCAGTTACTTCCTTTCAGATATATCCTAAGATCTCTTATTTCGGTTGCTTACATGATGTACTGGTTACTCACCCACAGAGTGTTAAATACCCAGATTTACTGGTTTGGATGGTGAACGAGTCAAAGATATCTCCTTGTTGTGGTCCAAGTCACTTTGCTTGGCCCAACGCCCAAAGCTCCCTATTCTTGTTTGATAGTGAGGAACAACAGCAATGTGTAGGTTTCAACGTACTAGGGCTCTGCTTCATATTCTGTTGGAAACTTAATTTTTTTTCTTTCTTATTTCAGAAAGAATTTCACAACAGATGTGTGTAGTTATGGACACCAAAGAAGATGAAGAACATGTAGGTCGTTGTCTTGAAGAAATGCTAAAAAATGAATTAAATGTAAGTATTTAAAGATCAAGTTTGATAAATTTTATTTGATTGCCACTGATTTTTATAGCATGAAGCTATATCTTCCGTGGGAAAGCATAAAAATTCTTTAAACCTAACTTTCTTATTTTGCCTTGATGAAATCCTCTGTTTTGCTGACACTTATGACTTGAAACGCACTCCGTTCCCCTTCTCCATTCCTCCTGGGGATTTCCTCTCCACCTTTATCTTGAGTTCTTTTTCTCCTTTAACCTTCAGCATCAGTGTGACTTCTTTAGAAAGCCCCACCTGATGCGCATGATCCACTGTTTAAGGTCAAAACTTGTCTTGAGAGCCACAGTGCCCAGCACATGCTAGGTGCTTACTAAAGTTTGCTGAATGCATGAAGAAAAATTAAGGAGAGAAAAAAACATATACAGATATGGAAAAAGGTAAGATAGGATAATTATGCTATTGAAGAGGTGAATGTATATTTCGTCCCTCTCCTTTTTTTCTTTTTTCTTTTTTTTTGGACTAATCAACTTCTCAGTTAACTTCATATGTAATATTAGGACCAAGGAAAAGCAAGAAGTAGTAGTAAGTGTAAGGAGCTACTTTTCCCCCTTGGCCATCCGTTATTTTTATGACCATTTTGTGTTTTGAAATGTTTTGCTTGCCAAACTGATTTCATTCAGTTTTAATCAGTTTCCCTGTTTTCAATATGTATAAGTGCCTGGATTTCTGATGAACATGTGATGACTTTTTAAACAACCTACATGATATAATCCTAGTTAAGAGCAGAAGGAAAAGGTTTATCTTAGTCAGCTAGTTTTATCATGAAAGTACAGTTAGTGAGGAGAAAAGGCTCTGGTATCAGACTTCTGGTGCTTAGATAACTGCTTTATTGCCTAATTTCCATATATTAAAATGTTAGTAACATTTACATTATAAAGTTGTTGGGAGAGTTGAATTAAAAGATGTATTTCAAGTGCTTAGGAAAGCATCTGCCATACCTAAGTTTTCAAAGAGTATGAACGATAAACTTAATGAGCTGAGATAGTGGTGTGATGTAATTAAGTGGTAGCTACTACTGATTCTCAAACGTTAGCCCTGTATTGGATACATGAGCTGTTAAACACGCAGATTCCTGGAAAGGGTAAACATTTAGTGAATCATCTCTGGGATAAGTTCTGGAATCTCAGTTTTTAACAAGCTCTCCGAGGTGCTTTTGGTGGCCATCACTGCTGAATTCTATCAGCAGCATTTGGAGCAACAATCCAATGCTGAAAAGAAATGGCAGTCGTCTCAGCTGTCTTTTGGATGTAAAGGTTGTACCATGATCTATTCTTACATATTGTTTTTATCCACTGACTTTCTGGGCATTCCCCTCTATTGTTAAAAATTTTAGCACCCTGTTCTTTGCTTTCTATCTTAAATACACCTGTGAAGAATCTATTTCTAAATTCTGTGCCCTCATTTCATCACTGTATCTCAGGATATTTGTGTAGATAATTTCCCCATCTGACCCAGGCAGGCAAACATTTGCCACAAAAATAGTCTTATAATCTTGGATGATTTCATTCATGCTTTATCTGTTCAGTGCTGATGCCAGTAAGATGGGACCCCGAAAGAGTATTGGTGATCAACCCTAAGTTTAGAGGGCTGGGTTGTGCACTATTGCTGCGTACCTAACTATTGCATCCTGTGTGGCTAATTCCTTGGCCTTCCCTGTATTAGATCCTATAAAGAACCCTTTCTTGTTAAAATTATTATGATGTTCTCTTTTTTGTTGCTAATATTCCTGTATATGTTTACTATTTATTCACATTAAACACATAGACTGCCAGATAACTTTTTCAGCAAAGATGGATTTATTCAGGATCAGCAGAGAATTGAAATTTGGGGTCTGCAACCACGGTGAGCCATGTGCAAGTCCCCCCACAGCAAGGGAAGGAGAACATTTCAGTGGAGGGGGAGAGGAAGTGGGGAGGGCTCTAGTAAACAAAGACTCCATGGCTTTCCATTGGCTGAGTCCTTGCCAGGAAAGAAGGGGAATGTTTGCTCCTCGCCTTGGGCGCTGCTATGGTCTTAGTGCTGAGAGCTCCCCCTTCTGGTTTCTCAACTATTTTAATTGAGGTTTCTGTTCATTAAATTTTTACTTAATGACATGATGTGGAATTTAGGGATACACACAGTGGTCTGTAACTGGTGCTGTGTGATTTTTTTTCCCCAGCCCCCAGCTTCTCAGTTCCTATCCTTCTCATTTCCAGGGACCATTCGTTTCAGGAACCTCATCTCCCTACCCATCGGGCCCAGTCTGGGGATTGCCTCATCTTAACTGTGACCACAGTATTTGATCTTTCCTTATCTTTTACTAAATTATTTCCACTGCACATATTTACATTTTGTAAGAAGCCCTAAGCCCCTTGTTTTCTCCCTTTTTTTTTCAGCTGCCTTTTGTTTCACACTTTTCCGTACTTGGATTCCATGCTTCATCACCCAGGTGGATCATGGACCTTTTACCAGTGTCTTCACTTCCCTTGTCCTTCCATTGCACCCACTTGGGTAAAACTCCATTGATTTTATCTCAACTTTTCATTTCTCTGAGCCCATATGCAGTCTTAATACTGCTGGAGAAAATTAGACCACAGTGCAGATTATTGTCATTAAAAAAATACTGGTCTTCATTCTCCAATGGGCACTGATTGTTTTAAAGCAAGCATACCATGATTCCATAGTCAGCTCCCCATTCTTCTCCGTGCATATTTTAAACCACTTCTACTCTTCTTACGTGTCTAACCCAGGTTTCTGAACTTCGGCACTGTTGGCATTTGGGGCTAGATATTGTGAGGGACTATCCTATGAATTGACTGTTGAGTAGCATACCTGTCCTCTACCCGCTAGATACCCCCTAGTTGTAAAAAAAAAAAAAAAACCAAAATGTCTCTAGACATGTCGCCTGGAGCGGGGCAGAATCACCCTCCAGGTGAGAACCACTTCTTTAACCCTACCATTTTTACCTCCACTCTTAGATATGATCTTGTCTGTAACTTCAGAGCAAAATTATATACTGCTATATGCCAACAATCCATCTTCCTGGCACCAAACCTTTGATGAATGCTGCATCTGTAGAAGTCACCTCATCAAGACTATTTCCTCTTCTTAGGTCCGATTCTCCTCTCCCCTCCCTTCCCCTCCCCACCCACCATAAACATTCTGTTGGATACATGTTCCTTCCATTAAAGGAAAAATTACTAGATCCAAAGTTATTCTGTAGCCAAACTTTTTTTTTTTTTGTTTAATGATTTACCTTTCACTCCTCAATCTATTGCATTTCAACTTCTACCTCAGCCTTCCATGGGAACTGCTCTCAGTGAGGCACTCAGTGGCCTCCCTGTGGGAAATCTGCAAGACAGTTATCAGTCCTTATATATTGCACCACTTGACTCTCTTGTCTGATACTTCTTTCTGGTAGGAATCTCATCCAGTGGATTCTGTAACATCTTGTTTTTCTGATCATCCTTTTTAATTTTTTTGCTTCCTCTTAGTTTCTTTTCAGGATTCTGTTGATATTTAGATTTTTGTACCTAGGTGAGTGGATTTCCCTAAAAAACCATGCTGATGGCTTGGCTTCCCATATCCTCTGTTTTCTAGGGACAAATATATATATATTCTCTAGGTCTGTGTTTAATTATTCACTATTCTGAATTTCAGATCTATATATTCAATCAGGAACCCCTCAGAACATTATACTTACATGTCAATGTTATTTTACATTCACAAATTCTTGTTCTAGCCAGTCCTTTTCCAGCTGCTAGGGTTTCTGTCTCTGAAAATGTGTATCATTTACCTAGTTGCCTAAACCTGGTAAAAGTTTTGACTCATCCTCTATCTCATTGCCAAAGCAAATCAAATTCCAAAACATTTGAACTCTGCATTTCATTATCCTTCAAATGTGTCCCTTTCTCTTCATTGCTACTGCCAGTATCCTAGGCACCCCAGCTCTCATCTGGATTATCCCAGTAGTCTGCTAACTGACCTCCAGCCTCCACTTGCCCCCTCACATCCATTTATTCATGTGATTGTTTGAATGATTGTTCTAAATTGTTTTATCATGCTATTCCCTACTCAAATCTGTTTTTTTGGTTTTCCATTGCTCCTAAATTAATACAAAAATTTCTTGCCATGTCTTATAAGATCTCTCACTTTACTAAACCTACTAATAAAAATAAGAAAACCAGCAATAATAACAGCCAGCAATTTTCAGCACTTACTTTGTGCCAGGTACCATGGCGAATGCTCTTAACAACCTTTTGAAATAGTTACTGTTACCATCATTTTAGAGATGAAAGTCCTGAGGCACAGCAGGGATGTTTAAATTGTTCTTGTTGACATTGTTGTGAAGAGACAGAGCAGGGACACGCAGAAGAACTTGTATTCAGTGCCCTTGCCAAGCAGCCCTGCACACTCTGCACTGTGCACTCTCTGACTGTGCACTCTTCAGGTCAACTCTACTTTTTTCAGTTTCTCAAGTGTGATATTACTTTCTTACCTCCAGCACTTTTACTGAATGTCCCATTTACCTCAGGGAGATTTTCCTGTTTGTCTTTTCCCTGAAGCCTGGTTTATGTACCCTTCTATTGTGTCCTATGTGATGCTATACAGCCCCACCTGAAATCTTCCCAAATCATGGTGCAGTTTTGATGAATGTTGAGTGGATAAATGATTGTGACTTGTTACTAGTAAGTTGAACACTGCACTGTGTATTGTACTATGCTTGCTGCGTAAGAAGTATCCCCAAATTTAGTGACCTTAAGTACCAAACATTCATTGTCTCATAGTTTCCGTGGGTCAGAATCTAGGCACAGTTTAGTGGGATTCTTTTGGCTCAAGGTGTTTGATTTGATTACATTCAAGCTGCTGTCTTTGGTAGGCGGGGGCCACAGTCTAACCTAAAGACTCAGTGTAGAAATGGATTCTGCTACCAAACTTCTGTGGTTGTTGGCAGGTCTCAGTCTGGCTCCATGTGGGCT